AGACTGGACATTAGGAGGCATTTCTTTACTGAAAGAGTAGTCAAACATTGGAACCAGTTTCCTAGAGAGGAGGTCAATGCCCAAGCATGTCAGTGTTTTAGGGGCATTTGGGCAATGCCTTTAATGATATGCTTTAACTTTCGGTCAGCTTCAAAGTTGTCAGGCAGTTGAACTAGATGATTGTTGTAGGTCCCTGTCAGCTGAACTATTCTATTCTAAAATTAATAGCTAATGTTTTTCTACTGTTTTTGTGTGTAATATTTCAGTAATTTAAGGTAATTGAAAAGATGGGTTCTTTTATATAGTGAATCAATATATTCTAAGTTTTAGTTCCTTGCCTCTCTCACATACACAGTACAGGAGAGAGTGCTGATTTTATTTTTTGGAAAAAAACCAACACTTTCATTCACAGGTGAAATCATGAGAACAGTACTTTGATATATTATTCCTTTCCATCCATCTGTCTTTGGATTCTCTGCCTCTCTTGATGGAATTGCAACTTCTTAAGATAAAGATGGTAAATCATGTTTGTAAGTCATCTGTGGCATAGCATACGTAGAGTTACATGAGAAATTATCTTGACCCATCATAAAATCTTCATAAATGTATACACTTTCTAAATTTAAAACCTCTTCATAACAGGGTCAGTTTTGGAATACATTTTCTTAAAAGAATGGGAAAGTCATGTTCACTGATAATTCTTTGTCATCCACTTACCATATTTTTTCCCACTCACAGATAGTTTCTATTAGAAGTATTTTTCATGCATCAGAGTGCCACAGTGGTTTTATTCAAAAAGGCTGCTTCATGGAAAGCAAATTAACTTAGAGTTTTTAACAGTGTGTGCTGTGTATCATGTAGAATAATGTATGATAAAATGAAAAATAATGGCTGAGGTCTGGTCCCATTGCACATAATTGCAAAACTCACATTATATTAGGCAGAGTGAGATCTGATTGTTTGAACAAATAAAGATAGTTTCTGTTCTTTCGGTTCTTGACAGAGCCTTATTGCATTGTGTTCATTTGTTGTCAGACATAGCCTGTTCTAGGCCCAAATTCAGCTAATAAATAAGCAACCCTCATCACTGAAGCATTTGAAAATGTACTTTTAATGCTTTTCAGAGTAGAGATGGATTATTGGATCAGCCTTATGAAAATAAATAGCCAGAGTTTTCTCATTAGGAATGTAAAAGATTTAAGGTTGGAAAATGCCGAATCAAATATATCTCTATGTCTTTGTGGATTTATGGTTTAAGATTATACACAAAACCAGGAAAGTGATTAATCAATAAGAATAAACAATTTTGTCAAGAATAAAATTACACACATAATTTATTTTCATTGAAAAGAATGGCAATTTGCAAATTACAGAAACAAAATGGAAGTGCTGATTAAATGGCTTTTAAAAATCCTACAAAGTGGTGGTAATGTGTTCCATTCTAATGGGCAAATGGCAAGAAATATAGCTGAAAAGACAGCTGTAATAAAAAAATTACTGTGCTCCATTTCAATTTGTTACCTTAAAAAAAACCAAACAACACAATTTTAAAATGTTCAATCATTTAGATTATTTCCCAAGCACAGGTTCAGAGCAGTATTCATTTACTTTTCTTATAATTTCTTTAAAGATCATATTATTTGAATATTTTACTTTGCTGGAACATTTTACTTGCTTTATCATAATGTATTAAGATTTTTTCTAAGTGAGGTATAATATATCAACTATTTAAATTAGCATATATTAATGCATCAGTATAATGACTTGAAAAAGATTATACAATATAGAAAGTTATGCTACAGGCAGCAGTTTCATACATTATTTAATTATGATTCTTGTATTTTATGTCTTAATTTCTCATTTTCCCTCATGGAGTTTTTTCCTGTTTACCAAATTTGAAACAATTCTGGAGGAAAATGTTTTGGTTCTAATCTCATCTTATTATGAAGAAAAAACTGCTCTCTTTTTCAATTTCACTTTGAACTGACTCATATTTATTAAAAAAACTCAGGGTGGATATTGTCTTGGAATATTCTTTTTTTCCCCAGCAGAGTGCTGTTCTGGCTGTAATTCTGTGCATGGCATAAGGAAATTGTTTCAAACATCATGTATCATCAGTACCAAAGGCTGGTGCTTAGTGATCTCCGTCATATTTATGAGGTGGAAGATGGTTCATTTTTTCTAAAACTCTAAGGGTTTATGTAATTATACCTATAGTTACATACAGACCACATACCAATCAATAAACATATAGGAAATATCTGTAATAAAAACTCGTACAAGATTAGTTTTGAAAGTGTGGAACAGAAATAAAAATTATATCTAAAACAAGGCTTTTGAATTATTACGGATTCAAATCTTATCTGTACTTATTTAATATGCCTCAGTTTGATAACTTAATTCATGCAGAACAGTACCTCATTCAAAGAGCATTTCAATTAATATTGTGGATTAGGTTTATACTACCTTTACTAAAACATATCATATTAACACATTATTCTTCTGTCCGTTCAGTCAAGTAAGAGAAATGTGTTTCAGCACCATGTTTAAACATGATTGTTTTGTAGAATAAACAAGGCCTAAAGTATATTGACTTCCAGTCAATTACAATTCGATTTAATGAATTTAGAGTACTGCAAATTAATCCTCTAAGCGGGTGTATGGTTCTTTGCAAGATTCTTACTTATATAGGACTTTGCAAGCAATATGCCAAATATAAAAAGTTACTTCAGATATCTGTCATTCTCAAACCTATAGTCTCATTGTGAACTTTTTTTTTTATTGAACAAGGAAATATACTTTAAAAGCAATAGGGAATTGTCTAGTTTGAAGGGGGAAAGTACTACTAGATTGGACAGATTTGTTTGCTTTTCTAAAATCTAAGTTTATATGATCCTGTCATACACAGATTGTAAATGATCCATCTTTGCTTTAAGGTGTTCCATATTTCAAGAAACTACTTGCAAAACTAATGAGTTTTTAAATAATATATGGATCAGAATACTAAATTTCAGTATCCATACTGTAAATGTTCCATACTGATCATAATAAATTCATCTTTCTCACCAGCTATTGCTGGCTGTAAGAATGAGGTGAGATTCTTGTGTCCTTCTGAAAGCATTTTTGCTAATAAAATTCATCAATATACCTGATTAAGTCTTTCACAGACACTTTACATCCAGTAGCTTATTTATTTGGACAATTTCTGGTTTGACACTCAGCCTCCAAAACAAATTAATTAAAGAATAGAAGGCCAGTAAGGATTACAAATCTGTTTGGCCTCCTCTGGAAAAAGAAAATATAGTGGAATGCAAAGCAGCAAAACTAAATTAAGTCCAGAAATAGGTGCTGCGAAGATTATCCTGTAAAATTATATGTAATACCAGTGGGGAGGATTCGAACAATAGTTTATATCAAAAAGCCCCATAATATACATGATTATCCTAATTTATTCCAAACTGTGAGCATGAAAATTAGGATCATGGGATTTATCAGCTGGGTTCGGTTGTTTTTTTTTCAGTAAAACCAGCAAAACCAATTTTTATTACTTGTTCATTTTTTCTTGCCTGTGATAGAATTATATAGTCTCTAAGAGACAGAGTACTGCTTTATTTTCAGAAATTCAGAGAATCCTCAATGAAGTCAGCAGGATGGGAACAAAGCCTTGCAGACACACTGCTTCACCATAGCCACCACAGCTCAGCCACAGTCCCGCCCCATACAGGCTTCGGAATCTGCTCAGCATTTCTCAGTAACCACGCTCCTCTCTTTTTGAGGGGTGTTTTTAATCTGACTGCTGAATTTCATGGCTATTTTTTAAAGCCTGCTTGTTTCATAAATAGAACTGATCCTGGAGAGTTGGTTGGGAAGTAATCTGATTTATGGTTATTGATCACTTCCAGCAAAAGTCTTTCTGGTCTTGTAAAGCCAAGCAGGGCCATCAGTTTGGAGACAAGATCAATTTAATGCCTAGGTTTATTTCAGGTAAGATACTCATATACACAAATGTTTGTAGGCTTAAGCCCCATTCTAGCTACAGTTACAAATATTTATCTGAGTGGTCTCAGTGAATGCAGTGTGATTTCTAATATGTATTCATATTGGTACCTGAGTATAAAGATGGGTCTTGAACCAGAAAAGAACCATACATGAGATTGATTCTGTACAATGCAAGTAGCTCTATTGTCATGATGAAACTATTCTGTGCAGTAAATGTCTATGCAAATCTTTGCTGGATTAATGCCCAAGTTGCCATAACCACAAAACTACAGGAAAATCCAATAAAATAGTCAAACAGAAAAAAACACAGATTCAATACATTTTTTCTAATATTTTTGATTTTAGTAAATATAGACAATTCTTTAAACAAGACTAATGAAGGTAGTTTCTTTTCAACACAGGCCTTTTCTGACTTTACATATTGTCCTTCAGAGCCAAGAAAAGAAAATATCTCTTGGGTACCTCTGTTGTTATTGATCTGGATAATGACTAATAATTGTTGTGGAGAAAAAATAATCTCCAGTGGTGCTTCAGAAGCTACATACAATTCCCATAATCTGCAAAATCAGTATGCCACTTTTTTACCAGACCCAAAGGGTTCACTACAGATTGTGAGGTTTATTGATCACTTAACATGTATAGTACTTTCATCTTTATTCAGTGTCTTTTTCAGCACTGCAAAACAGGAGTAGGTAAGCAGTTCTCTATCCCTTTTGAGTGGAGATGCACCAGAAAGTGATGAAGTTTCAGTGGAAACTTCTTTCAGTCATCCCACAGCTCCAAGTCCATCAGTATGCTTCTGCCTGTGCCCCTGGTCTCCTCATTTAGAGGACTGAGACACATAATAAAAACAAGTGGCTTTGTTTTCTAAGTGATTTAGTTGGCTTTTCTTTCTAGTAAAGCAACAGAAGCCAGCAATTCTGAATGGAGCTGAGAGATGTGTAAATGGTTTAGGAAAACAGCAGTTATTCCTGGGGGACAGGGGAAAGGAGCCAGCTTGCTTTATCACCAGGAAGCTATAGGTCCATGTGTGGGTTTTGATTGATGTCTCGTCTGGAAGAGTTTGCTTCTTACTGAAATTCCACTGCATTGCTCAGATAGGTTATCTCCTGTGCTTCCTGACGCAAGCATTGCATGTGCCCCAGGCTATGGTGATTTCCAGTTGTTCTAAAGCTTGGGCTGAGCTACTGGGATGTGGCAGTCAGCTCTCCGGGCTGCTTTGCCACAGCAGTATCTGGATGTCTGTATGCCAGTTTATAGGTGGTTTAGAAATGGAAATATATTGGTCAATGTAGTTTCATTAGCTTATATGGTGACTGGAAGGCAGCTATCACTTTCATATGTGGTTGATGTAATTAGCCAACCATCTAGAGCAACATTTCTTTTGCAAGTGCCTTTGTTTCCTTAAAATGCAGAATAAGGAATGAATTAAAATCTGTTGCTGTATTACTGTAAGCCCCATGTAAGAGGTGCCCTGTAAGAAGTGCCAAACCCAACTCAGTAAAAGGAAAAGCCAGAGGATTGGTTTGAAGGGCAGGTGCTCAGCTGGGGAAAGTGTCCGAGTGTGAGTGAGAGCAGAAGCCACAGATGCAGTCCAGGTGAGGGCGTCTGCCAGCCTCAGGCGAGCAAAGGCTTCCCTCCAGGAACCGAAACCAGCGCAAACCAGGAAGCAAAGAGAAATATTCAGGCTGTCCACGTCAGAGACTGCTAAGGAAACAGGCAGGTCAGCTTAGTTAATCATTAGCAGAACAGACTTTACAGGCGTTCACTGCTGATCAGATGACAGGACCCTATCTGAGATAAGAAAACACCCATCCCAAATAATAAGAGTTGAGAAGCCTCCCGTGCTCAGATGTTCTGACTTTGTTGTTTTGCTGTGGGAGAAGAGGCTCCATGCTCCCCCATGGTTCCCGGAGCTCAGCCTAGCACAACTTTCCTGTTCTGAAGAGGAAGTGAGAAATTCCCTCCACATGTGCTCCAGCACTGGAATATTCAGGTTTCAGTCCCGATCCAGGAGCTGCCTATAATGAGCTCTCAGTGGTCCTCAGAGAGAAGCTGCCAGCTGTGCCAAGAGTTGTTTCATTTTGTGCCTTAGCAGGAGGGAGAGAAGAAATCCTGCAAAATGCTAAAATGTTGATGGGGCAAAAATTGGTCTAAGGGTATTGCAACTGGGAAAACAGAAAGAAAACTAGAAGCAGAGGAAGGCACAAGGAAACAGGATGGGAAACTTTTGTCAGAAGCACTGCGCTTGTTTGGAACCCTACGTCCCATTCTTATTCCCAGGGAGAGATGGTGAGCAGAATGAGAAAGCTGGCCAAGTCTTCACCAACTTTGCTGTGGTAAAAGATGACTGCCAAGCAGGACAGAATGACAGAGAGAGTAAGATAAAACAGAAACCTTTACCTCCACTGCCTGGCCAGCATCTGGTGAATATTTGCACATTTGTGGCACTCTTCGACTACGAGGCTCGCACTGAGGAGGACTTGAGCTTCCACGCTGGGGATAAGCTTAAAGTGCTGGATGCATCCCATGAGGGCTGGTGGTATGCTAGGCTTCTCCTGCCAACAGGCTCAGTCTGTCCTGGCCGCAAGCTCCAGGGCTACATCCCTGCCAACTACATAGCTGCTGACCAGAGCATCCAAGCTGAGCCGTGAGTACCCATGTAAAGCACAGCACAGTATCTTTCTGTCAGGTTAAATAGGACTGGGACAGGAAGTTATGGCCTTTTCTCTTGCTGAGGAACACCCTGCCATAGTCAGCCTCTAGTGGTCCTACCAGTGATAGCTGTAGTTGGCATGTTCAGGGGAAGGACACTTGTCACAAGAAAGTAAATTACAAAATGCAGAGTGTTGAAGGTTTTGGCTTGGTTTGGTTTAAGTAATTTCCCTTTCTGATATACCCTAATCACATGTTTGAGAACTGCCTGGGAATATCAGGTGGGTTACCACTGCCATTTTTGTTTGCATAACAGTAAGAGTCTGTCAGATGCTTCCCAGAGAGTGCAAGGAGATGACCCGTGCCCTAAACAGTTTTCAGCCTAGCCAGCTGCAAAGTTATCAATTAATCCGTTTTAGGAAGCTGCCTTTATACCTTACAAATGCTGGGTCTTGAGCAGCTACGTTTTTGATGCATTACTTTTTTCTTCTTTGGAGGCAAACCTCTGCTCTCAGGAGAAACTAAATTGGAGTAAGTACTGCAAAGGGCAAAAGAGTGGATATAACAATAGAATACAAATTTAATTTGTTGAACTTTCACGGAGTTTAATTATGCAGTCCATGTTTTTCTGCCCTGTCAAAACATGTCCAATCTTATTTAATATTCTGAACTAGAGCAGAAATCACACAAAATCGGTTACTTAGCTCCCTAGTGAGGATGAGTAAGGTCTGAGTCAGCCTGGGATGCAGAGTTATTTATGTGTGTTACAGTCAGAGGCAGTGTTTGCTTAAATAGGTCTGACTGCAGTTCCAGAGGTATGTTTTGGCAGAAATTATCTGTGTGGAAAGAGACGGGAGAAATAGCATTCATTATTAGTCTCAGAATTAATGTTGACTTTAGAGGGATGATGTTGCAGCTTTTCAGTTAAATCTTATTTGGACCTGAAACATAAGCTCTGATGTGATCTGCCCACCATAGTGCCAAGGGCTAGGAAAATTGGCTCAGGTATAATTATGCCAGTCTTTTATCAGCTGTGCTAGAGGCATCTTAGGGCTACTGTAAGATTGCTCTCTAACCTGAAGACCTTAATTTCTGGAGTCTGACCAGCTGTTTCTCTTTCTGTATTCAGGCAGACAACCTTTTCAATGTTCAGAAGAATTCTTCCAATTGCAGAAATTAATCCTCAGGGATGGCATTTTCTGAACCGCTAGAGAAATGGTTGTAGGCTCTAATTCAACTCAGCTTGGCCTTTGCTCTCTTTCAAGCACTAGTTTTATTACAAGTCATCTAAGTTTTCTGCTTGCTGTTAATACTCTGAAAGTAATTTTGCTCAGTTGTACAACACTCTCAGCTTTTAAGGTCCCTCTTTCTGTATCTACAGCATCAAATACAAAGTTAAGTTTGCTAAAGTACATTGTTAATAACCTTTGTTGTTTTCTCTTTGCAGAATCAATTTGATTTTATTTTACTCCTTTTATATACCGTTCTTCCTTTTTTAATAAAGACTAAGTTTTGGCAAAAGAGTTTTCTTCATAGGTTTCTAGAACATTGGAGAGAAGAAAATGGAGAGCTTTTATATCTTTTTAGTTTCATATCAAAGTTAATCTGGCTAAACATGTTGTCTTTTCTCACATTACCTTCTAAATCAGTTGGCTTTAGTTGTCTTCTTATGTATACAAAATTGCTGTCACCCCACACACATATAACCATAGGCTAACTCAGAGCGGAAAGGACCTCTGAAAGACATTTTAAACCATTCTCCAAACTCAGACATGGCCAAAATAAAATTAGACCCATTTGCTTAGCTGGACATTCCCTGTCAAGCTTTCTTCTCTCCCATTTTTAGTGAGGATTTTTTTTTGCTTTGTGTCCAGTTGGAATATTCCTTTCTACAATTTTTTTCCAAGGATTCCTGTTCACTCACCTTCTTCCTTGCTGAAGCACCTGTGATTTTTTTTCAGGGAGAAAGTCTTTCTTGAACTTTTCTTTGGTATGAAAGAGAATGAAGTAAAGTAAGAAGAAAAGTGAGAAACTTCTTCCTTGTCCTCATTTAGATAACAGGTTTTCTTCCTGGAAGTCTCTTTGACTCCATGCAGTATGACTGATGTAGTGCTGATAAGGTGATAAATAACTGGATGAAAGGGCAGAAAGGATGTGCAGTATCTCCAGACTGAGGAAAGTAAGAATTACATACTATTTATAAGAAAGGAAATTTTCATGTATCCTTGGCTATCAGAATGTTCCATCAGAACTGAGAAAGAATGAGATTTCTTTAGTGAGTTGCTCTCCTCAGACTGAAGTTTATTGGCAGAAATTGCATGCTAAAATTGAAGGAAGACTTTGTTTATACTGCATTTTGCTAATATATTTGTATTATATAATATGACAACTTATGCCAAAAGTCAAACACTTCTTATTTGTGCATAACATCATGTTAAAAAAAAGTTTCTCTTTGGCTTGAGTGATCCCTTCCAGTGTGAATCACTTGGATAAAACCTTTAACAATCTGTGTGAAGATAAAAAGGTAAATCCATGGCTTGGGTTTTGCCTGCTGCAGCATTGCCGTCCAAATGTGTGCTGCATAAGATTAAATAAGTCCAAGGAATGCACACCTGCTACCATGAAGGTTGTTTTGGACAGACTGAGGAAACAAGGCTCTTCATTTTTATATTTACCAGTAAAGCATCTTCTTATTGCTGATCTTTTCTAGCACCTGCAGTGCTCCTTATACTAACAACAACCTGTCAGGTGGAGCTATTGTGAAGGGCTTGTGCCTAGTGTCTCTGAAGACAGGTCTGTTCACCTGGCTCTGCCTGGAATGGGTGAGACAAGGCAGCCAGGCAGGGGAAGCATTCGTCTAGCAAATCATAGTTGCGCAGAGAACTTTCACTTCATGAGAAAATAAATCTGTTAGTACAAAATTGTTATTTTATTTAATATCTGACTAAAAGCAGATGCAGACTGCGCTATATGATAAATTAGCAACTGTGAGAACACTTGGTGCTTTTCCTCTCTCTGCATCACAGATTGCAGTCAAGACCACAAGCCAGACAGATTTTTCATTTCTAAGGAAGTTTGAGTGAGGTTGTATCTGCCTTATCCAATGGCATCAGAATGCTCTTCTTCCTGGGTTTAAATGCATAATTCAACTTGCATGTCCAGCAAAGAGCAATTCAATTAACAGCAGAATATGAATTTAATGAAATAAATTTCTTTGGCAAGGAGTTTGACCTTTCTGTGTCTGTGCTCTTTCTTGCCTGCTTTTCTGCACTATAAACAGGAAACATAGTAATGCATTCACTGTCCTTATTTTATTATTGCCAGTTGTTTTAACTAAACAAGAAAAGGACATAGTAGAAATTGTTATGGACAACAAATACAGCCCAGCTGTACAGTTAATTGTATTGAAGAAAAAAAAAACCCCAAGCAAAACAACCAAACAAAAAGAACTCACTTCAGGAGTGACATGGGTTCTTTATTTCTAGAGGAAGGGAAGAGTGTTCTTAGGTGGGGTCTTGCCTGCCACCCTGATGGACCAGTTTGCTCTTTACTGAAAGTCACCTTCACACACATGTTCATGCCAGCATTATTAGCACAAGACTGCCGTGCTGAGGGAAGTAAATCCACACAAATTCATGGTAGATTAGGTCAAAGAAGATCACAGCGATTACTTTAAACTTTTGCCAGTTTCAGAAACATTCCATATTTCAGAGAGATTTCTTATGTAGGCATTTCCCAGCTGGTGGAAACTGAGCCCCAGACCTAATCAATGAAACCTCACCAGTCAATTCCACAATGAGCATTTTAAACAACTCTTTGAAGGCAGAAGTGACTTGTAGGTTATTGTTGTCGATCACCTTCTGTGACCTGGCTCAGCTTTAACTATTTCGTACACTGAATCTGAGTTACTGTATGTGAACAATAAGGCATTCCCTGGACTGACCTGTTCCAGACTTTCTGCAAAGTCAGGCTGGGGGGGTATCTCTAGTTTATGTAGGTCATTTTTCAAAGTGGTATTTTGAGCCAAAATGTATCTGGAGACCCTTTTTAAAGGGAAACCTTAGATTCCGCTGGTCAGCTCAGAAAACTGAATGTAATCCACTGTGGTTTCTGTGCACTCCCTCTCTCTCAGTCTCAGAATTTCTCTATTACAGTACAAACTCCTGAAGACACCATCAGCACCAGCACTAACCCTTGTATTAGAACTGCTTATTGCTTACATGACTATGCAAAGTAGTAGAAGGTTATTCTCATATTCTTGGATCCTGTTAACATTAAGTACAAAAGCTATTGTCATACAGGTTTTGGTAGAAAAGGTTTCTTTATCATCAAAATATGTATTTATTATAAATCATTGAAATAGCAGCATGTGAACTCATTTAAAATTCCATCTTTTTTTTAATTTGAAATTTCATCCTTTCTTTCATTTGATATATTTCGTATATGTGCTTTTGTGTGTGCAAACACATTTGCATACACACCATAGATAAAGTTTGTAAGACTGATACTTTTAAGACCATGCAAAACAGCCCTGTGAAAATATGTGTGTATTGGAAACCCAGAAGATCATGATTTTGAAGTTTTTTGACCTTGTGTTTATAGCATCTCAAGTGCCCAAAGTTTGGAACTTCCATACATGTTTTGGAGTGCCTTAGTTGAATTTAAATTATTGAATACTATAGAAAGATAACAGATTTAATCACTTCTTTAGTTGTGGTTGAGCATTCCAGTGCTGTCTTCAAGTATATCTCAAACTTTGTCTTCAGTTTTGCTCATTTCTTAAATATGCCAAGATACACTGAAAACAAAAGGAGGTAATTTACAATATTGTGAAATGTCAGATTTTGTCAAGTGCCAGAAGTATTTAGACATCCATGTGTATAACCATGTCCAGAAAATGTGTGTCTCTGCTCAGAAAGCTGGAAGGAATTATGGCATTGTAGATAGGCAATTCATGGAAATTTAAGTCAGCTATTTTCTGGCCATGAGATTTTC